AAAAAAAAAAAAAAAAAAAAAAAAACGTTGCCGCTGTCACGGACAGCCACCAGGACCTTGTTGTTACAAACAATGAGAGCCCCTCAACATTTTGAGAGCGGGTGATCTCATATATCAATGACGGAGGCCCGTCAAAAACCGAACTCTCAGGAGCAGCAGTGACTGCACCAACGGTTCGGATAAACCGGGATTACACAGACAAAGGTAAACATAAGAAGAAACGTTGGCCAAAACCTACAAGGTTCCTGTGTAACCTTATCAGAAAGGGGGTCGCTAAAAAAGCTTACCTGTCGATCACACTTGAAGGGGTCCTCACACATGAAGCCCTGCTGGACGGTGGAGCCGACATAACTATTATGTCAGTCAAACTGTTCAAAGAACTCAGGACCGCCGCTAATGGTGTTCATAGGGAAATACCTCTCATAGAACGTGCTATAGAACTGCAGGGCCTTGCAGAGATGAGGACAACCCTATGGCGAGATGACACTATACCACCCGGTACATGTGTCTACGGTTGACTCATTCCCATTTTTGATTGGCCAGGATTTTATAAATCGCTTTGAGGCGATTATAGATTATGGCAAACAGACAATGTGGGCCAGAGTGAGCAACCCCCTGCCAATACTCGTGCCTCCTGGGATGGTCACAGACTGCCCAACAGCAGGCACCTATGGCAAGCCCTTTTAACATAAAATCGAGTAGTCTGACTATCTCTAGTTACATTCTAGATATCTTAAATTGAGTTTTGACTAGGCACAATTACATTTTGACTAGTCAGAATGCTAATTTAAGATATCTTGAATTACATTCTGACTAGTCAGAATAACAATTCAAGATATCTTGAATTACATTTTGACTAGTCAAAATGTAATTCGAGATATCTTGAATGACGTCGCATGGTTCGTCATTTGACGGGTCAAACATCCGTAATTACTATTCAAGATATCTCGAATGTAATTATGACTAGTCAGAATGACACTTTTAGATATCTTGAATTAAGAAATGACGCGTAGGACCCGCGGCTGCTACTTAGCTGTTCAAACAGCTGCCTGCAGAATTTTGTGTGGCTGCAATGGCGCTAGCTGTTCTGGACAACATTGTTAGAAAATGCCACAACTTCCTGTGGCTCTAGTGTTAGACAGTGAGGAAAATGGCTCAGTCTCTGCGCTGTTGTTTTTGTTCAGTTCCTGGTTGTTCTTGTGGGGCAAGAAAACCACCGTATCTGTCCTACCATGCTTTACTGCACTCTCACAGCCTGCATGAGTCACCATAATTAGTCAGTGTCTTACCTGAGAGAAGACTGGCTGGCTTTTGGATTTTTGTATGTGAATGTGAGGCTCATGTTTGTTTGTTTTACAATTCTTAAGTATTATTCATATTTATTTTTGTTAATTTCATATTTATATTCCAGGTTGAAGGTGACAGTTGAGTCTTGTGTAGGTTCTGTTCCACAGTGCTTGCTGGTAAACAAACCCAAGTGTCTTTTCTGTGTATAAATGATGTCCTTGGGTGAAAGTCCTAAGGTTGTGTTGCAGTAAGTTTATAAAATAAAAATAACATCCATACCCAAGCTTGTCACATGTATGTAAATTGTTCTAGTGTTACGTAGTTACCAGTAGATAGTTAATGTTTTGAATTATTTTAAACATTCTTCAATAAAAAAACACTTGAGCAGCATATTGTAGTTTTTTTATTTGTGGATTGATTCAGTTGAATTACAAGGAAAACGAGTGCAATTTACAATATCTAGTAAAAACAAAAAACATTTAACTATTTAAGTTAACATTTTATAACCGTACACTATAAATTGATAGTGGATTAGATATTTTATCAAATTATGTAATTTCAAATTAAATAAATTGGCACATTTATGTATTTTTCATGAATAACTATTTACAGTATTTACATCTAAAAAATTAAGTCTGGTCCTCTGGACATTCAAAAAAACAAAACAAACGAAAAAAAAAGGTAGAAACGTTTCGTCTTTCATCCGAAAGGCTTCTTCAGTCTGAGGTGCTGCTCAAAGTCAAAGTCACTTTTATTGTCAAAAACTGCAACATGTACAGGACATACACAGGATTGAAATTACATTTCTCTCAGACCCCGGTGCAACAATAACCATTTAACATTAAAACATTAAGCATAAGCATAAAATGAAGTAATAAATGGTTCACACATTTTCACATGGTTGTCAGCAGCAAACTGGTTGATCCACTCTGAGAAGGTGCTATTTAAGAGACTGAGCTGAATACAGCACCTCAGACTGAGGAAGTCTCTCGGATGAGACACGAAACGTTTTTACTTTTTGTGTGTGTTTGTTTTGTTGTTTTGCTTTTTGAATGTCCAGAGGACCAGACTTAACTTTTTTTAGATTTTCCTACCTGGATCATTGAGCAGCATCAGGATACAGTATTTACAGTGATTCACACAGATTGAGACTGATTAAAAATATGAAGGAACAAAAGGGTGATTTATAAATTTTATGTTTCTTGCTGCATTGATATAAACACATGGATGAAGGTGTTGAAGTAAAACATGTCCAGTTTAGACTTCATCTGATCAATCATCAATCCATTCATCACACCATACCGTTCAACAGTTATTGTTTAGTGTACCCCCTGATCATCTGAGCTGTCAGTGCTGTCAGCAGACTCCTCCTCTGCACTTCCTCTGTAAGCAACACGGAAAGTGTAAACAGCTAGCAGTAAGCTTTGGTTGTCAAAGCTGTACCCACGCAGGACCTCTGGACTGCTCCCTGGTTCTGGCCTGTACTTCATGTGACACTTGCAGAGACTGAAGATGCATAAGTTGATCAAGTGTGGGCACAAAACACATGTTGGGAAGACTATGCAGCATCGAAGGAAGAGCAAGGAGGTCTGGAGCCATGTGGTGCAGAATGATGCTGTGCAGGACTTCTCAGGTGGGCACTGGTGAGACCTCAGTGAACCCTGTGGCACAGGACCAAGTCTGGATGGTACCAGCTCCAAAGCTGAGAGACCATCTCTAGGATAAGTGTGATAAGTGGTTGGGACTCCAGCTGGTGTAGTTTTTCTCCCGATGCCAGGATCTGGAAGTGGTTCTACAAACACACGAGTGACAGAATCACAATAAGTTTTGACAAAGGAAACATGGACATAAAAACATTAACCCAAAGGTTATACCTGTGAAAGCTCTGTAAAGCGCGGAGTGCAAACATCTTTTCACCACAGTTTTGGGCTTTCACACCACCACCACCTCGCTGGCAGGTTCAGGATGGATTCCCTTACAAGAAATAAACATAAAAATACGTCAAAAAATAAATAAATGTAAAGAGACAAGTGAGCAATTTGGTAGGACACAGTGGGACAGATCTGAGAGTTAAGATTTTTACTTAACTTGCAAATATTACTAATTCATAGAGGTTGAACCTGCATTTATTCATTACCTACAAAAACAAACAATTCTAAACAAGTTAGGAGAGAAAAATATATTTGACACAAGTAATATTGAGACTATGACAAATTTCACATGGCACTAATAATATACAGGTGGGAAAGTTATTACAGTTATTGTGATGAGAATCATAACCATCATATACTAAATAATATAACAGAAAAGAATGTGTTCCACTCTTATTTTATTTTTTTACCTGTGTTCTTTGTCTGTGCCTTCTTTGTAAATCTCTTGTGCGGGCCAGTACAGGAGGACCAGTTGGCAGCTGGAGTTGGGAGTAGTGGGCAGTCTGGTAAAAAAAAAAAAAGTGCAACTACATGGTTACAAAAACCTTTACCAGCTGCACTTCTGCAGAAATAAGCCAACATTTCTTTTTTCAACACACAGTGAGATCTAAAATAGATCTGTTTTTAGCACACACACATATATATAATTAATACTTGTTATAACATATTTAGCTTTAAACAAGTAATAGATTGTATAATAGATTGATTCACTTAACACATCACCTTACAGATATACACAGCACGCTACATACACATAAACATATGTTTGGCACTAATGGAACCTCATAAAAAAATAATTAAAGATTTTATATCATGTCTGTCTCAAACACTCCAAATAATGTAGCACACTAAATTAAGCTTCTTTATCACGATGTTTATGCGCTTCATATGTTGTAGCTAACGGTTAGCTTGCTAAGCTACGTCTTTTCTTACCTCGACAGCTGTGGAGATTTTCTTCATGGAAGAACTTTTTGTCACGATCCTCAGTGTTGGAACCCAAATGCAGAGAGGCGAGCGAGGCAGGAGTTCAAAAACAAAAACAATTTATTTCAATAACAAAACAAAAAGCTGTCGGTGCAGCAAAACTTACTTGGGCAACAGGATCAGGAACAAGGCAGAGCAGATGATCAGGTGGACAAGAAACAGACAAGATAGAAGAGGACTGAGATGTCTGTAAACACAGAACAATCACCGGACAAAAAGTGAAGGAGAGACAGGCTTTTTATGAGACAGAGGGAGAGTGAGTAACGAGAGCACCTGGGCAGGTGGCTGATGAGGGACAGGTGTGAATGATAAAGATTGAGTGGAGAGGCAGACTGAGGAGTGAGTGGAGAATAACAGAATCAGATAAACAGAAAATCACACACAGAGCAGAACAACAAAAATATAAAGAGCAGACAGAGACAGAACCTAGAAATGGAAGGAAATGATTTAGTTTGTGGGATGATTGTTTGAAGATATAAATGTTGGTTCCTGGTTGCAGCTTGAAGGAGAAGGCAGAGGCTTAGGCAGATGGGGGGGGCAGCGGGGCCGCTGACCGTGACAGTTGGTTCCTGGTTGCAGCTTGAAGGAGAAAGCAGAGGCTTAGGCAGATGGGGGGGGCAGCGGGGGCCGCTGACCGTGACACTTTTATCCTTTTAAGTTTATTAGTTCGAGAATTCGCCGCTGCGATTTCCTCCTCAGCAGCGAAAGAAAAGATTGGCAAATTAAGCAAAGATGTTGAAAAGAGAGACATTTCTCCTTAGTGCAAAAACTCGCAAAGCAGGAAGTGTCGGTTTCCGGTTGTCGTGAAAAAGACGTCGCAAAAAATTCTTCTTGTTGCAGATACAATAAATAATCCGAGCTGCCGCGCTAAAAATCATGTTAAAAATACGAGCGTTGTGTTGGACTGACCTGATTTTGCAGATTATAAAATAAAAAGGCTACAATGCCTTATGATTTTTCCGCCAAATGCTACGTAAATCTGTGACGTTTTGACTAGTCAGAATAACAATTCAAGATATCTTGAACGTCATTCTGACTAGTCAAAATGTGAATTCAAGATATCTTAAATAGAAAAGCCGTCTACATGATAAAATATTCAAGATATCTTGAATTCATTTTGAGATATCTTAAAAGTAATTTTGACTAGTCATAAGTACAGTTCTAGATATCTGTAAGTTAGTTTTGCCTAGTCGTTATTTGCTTTCAAGATATCTACAATTTAATTTGCACTAGTCAAAACTTCATTTGTGATATCTACAAATACATTTAAGATATCTTGAATAATGACGTAATTTAAGATATCTTTAATTGTAATTATGACTAGTCAGAACTAAAAGTGAGATATCTTGAAAGCAAATAATGACTAGTCAAAATTAACTTAGAGATATCTAGAACTGTATTTTTGACTAGTCAAAATTCAGTTCAAGATATCTTGAATTGAAGCCTCCATACAACTCAATGGTAAATCTGACGTCATTATGACTAGTCAGAATGTAATTAGAGATATCTTAAATGAGTATTTTGACTAGTCAAAATGCAATTCAAGATATCTTAAATAACCAATATGTCTAGTCAAAACTCAGTTTCAGATATCTGGAATGTAAGCGTGGTGAATCCTATTTTATGTTAAAAGGGCTTGCCATAGGCACCACAGACGACACCGAGGACTTCTCAGCAGAGAACACAGTCCCGGTAAGTAATTCTTTAAAAGCATGTATAACCGAAGAGACCCAACTGGTGGATCCAACTCTGACCGAACAAGAAAGCCTCCTCTGCGAGCTGAGACAGTCAGAGCCCACCAGATACTACCTACCATTGGTAGCTAAAGGTCTAGATATCCAAGGATCCCACACCGAAGATGCTGTACTGTCGCTGTGGACAGATAAATCAGCTATTAACCAAGCTTTCTACGAAACATTGGTTAAAAAACATTTGGGTCCAGTTCTGATAGAGAAAGCTTTCTGCTTTCCATTGGATCCCAACAGTTCACGAGTGATGACTGCGAAAGGAGTCATTAACCTGAAACTGACCTGGAACCAATGGGAACTGGTCCACCCATTCCTCATGGTCCCAGACTTAGCACATGCAACCTGCATAGGCTCTGACATCTTGGTAAGATTAGGTGTCCGAGTGGACACCAGCCACAATGTACTGTGGTCACTAAAACCAGCCACAAAGGATCCTCCTGTGCTAGACACAGCAAACCTTACGGCTGGACAGACCATTCCAGAGGTCTGCCAGGTTGCTAACAACCAAAAGACCTCAGTACCACCTCAGGTAACAAACCTAATGGTACGAGTCCACATCGTGGTGGGACAAGCTATTAGCCTTAAACAGGCGTACTTTCAACCATCTCCTCCGTTTTTCAAACTGGGACTGTCCATTGAGGCCGCAAGCCAAGTGAGTCTCGACTCCAGAACCACATCTGTTGCTGTATGCAACACAGGCACAGAAGAGGTACTGATACCGAAAAACACAAAGCTAGGATGGTTGATCTCCACAGATTTTCATGATTTTGAACTAGTCATTCCATTTCTGGGAGGACTCCCAGACAACCTGGTATCGAGTCAAGAGACTGGTCTAGTTTGGTTCACGAACCAACACAGGCCATAGCTCTCTTCTCAACCAATGATGTCGATTTAGGAACTCAAACCTATAGTGTCCTACCTATAGACAGGTCTAACAACACAGAAAGGGACTAACTGGAGCTCCCCAAACGTCAAGAACCCTTAGCAATCTCTTCACAGATTGAACAGGTGGTCGCCCAAGCCGACGCCGTGACGGCTGATGAAGAAAGGGACAAACTCCGCCAAGTTCTCATGAAATATGAGAAGTCATTCTCGACTGACTCAATGGATTGTGGGTTGACCTCGTTCCACACAGTGAGCATCCCAACTCCGCCCAACTCATCGCCTACATAGGACAATACAAGATTCCCCTGGCAGCACATCAACCTGTCAAGGAAATCATTGATGACCTTTTAGATAAAGGCATAATCAGACATTGTAATTTTTTTTTCATTTAGCCTTTATTTATACAGGTTAGTCTCATTGAGCCACGAGAACTCATTTTCAAGAGAGACCTGTTTAGGGAGCACATGGTGGGGGTTAAGGGCCTTGCTCATGGGCCCAGAGTGGGGCGAATGAGGGTGGGGGCAAGTGTGGGTGTTTCACCTACCCCACCTACAATTTTGATGTTGTCGGGGCCGGGGCGTGAACCGGCGATCTTCGGATCACAAGCCCACCTCTCTAACCTCTTCGCCATCTGCGTAATAGCACCTACTCTGCAAATTTATGGCCAGATTTGAAACCAAATGGTAAGTGGAGACTTACCATAGACTACAGAAAGCTAAACAAACAAGTTCCTTTATCTAGGTGGCCAATGACCCAGATCCAACAGGAACTGCCCAAGGTCACCAATGGTAAGTACTTTTCCACCCTCAATGTCGCCTATGGTTTTTGGACCATTCCTGTGCATGCCGAGGACCAACACAAACTAGCTTTCACTTTTGGTAGCCGACAATACACCTTCACCAGGTGCCCCTTTGGCTATGCTAACTCACCAGCTAAGTTCAACATCTTTTTGAACAAAGCATATCCAGACGCCCACGAACATGGGACACTGATCTACGTGGACGATGTTCTTTTAAGGCAGCCAACACTGGACTTACACTTGGCTGAGATCGACCACGTTCTGAATCAACTGACTACTGCTGGTGCTAAAATCTCACTGTCAAAATGCCAGTGGTGTAGGACCAAGGTGGACTACGTTGGCCTAATAGTAGGTCCAGACGGAGTACAACCACAATTGACTTGCACCCAAGGCTTAGACAATCTCAAATCCCCACCAATCTCAGAGAACTACAAAGTTTTCTGGGCGTGTGTAACTACTCACGCCATTTCATAGAGAACTATGCAGACCTTGCGAAACCACTGACTGAACTCTTAAAGAAAGATGTCCCATTTGTATGGACTGACAACCAGCAGCAGGCAATGAACGCTCTCAGGGACAAACTCAAGTCAGCCCCATGTCTAGTCTATCCAGACTACAACAAAGAGTTTCACTTGGAATTGGGCTTTTCAGCTCACTGCATAAGTGTAGGTCTGTACCAGATGCACGACAAAGACAAGCGTGTGGTGGCCTACGCCAGTAAGACAATGGCAGGCCCCGAATTAAAGTTCTCAGACTGTGAGAAAGCTCTATTGACCACTGTGTGGGCAGTTAAACACTTCTCCAGTTACATTGGTGGACAAAAAAATCATTGTTGAAACACAACACCAGCCAGTGACTTTCCTGAATAGCCAACGCATCAGAGATGGTGTGGTGACAAACTCACGGGTAGCCATGTGGCTCATGACACTTCAAAGTTTTGACCTAGACATCTGTTACGGACAAAACAAGAAGTCACATTTGGGCACCGACCTGACACTCTGCCAGGAATGTACACAAGATGTACCAGCCACCCAACCACCAGCTGCGGAAAAACCCTCAGTAAATGAGGACCTGATTCACCACTACTTTGATAGCAATATCTGCAAAGATATGACAACACTGTACGTGGATGGATGCTCATTCCACCACGAACAAACCTGCAAATCAGGTGTTGGAGGGATCCTCCTCCAATACCAAGAAGAGGTCACTTTTAGCTATAAATTAGGCTCTCAGACTTCTCAGTACGCTGAGATAGCTGGAATCCTAATAACTCTCCAGATGGCAGTAGAACGCTCCATCCAAACGCTAGCCATCTGCACGGACTCCAGTTATGCTCGACTTATTTTCTTGTGTCATCTCTCTCTGTGGAAACAGAACGGCTTTCTCACAAGCAACAAGAAAGTGGTCAAACACAAAGAGCTTTTCATGGCATGTGATCACTTGGTGACATCACATGACCTACAGGTCTACTGGAAGAAGGTTTCAGGATATTCAAGAGTCCTAGGCGATGACAAGCGGTATAATGACCTCGCAGACTTCCTAGCCAAGGACGGAGC